GGGGGGAAGTGAAAGTGCCTAACAGAACTCGAATCAAAAGCTAACACGTCAGATCAGACCAAGGGAAGAGAAAGGCAAGTGGGGAGGGAAAAAAAAAAAAAAAGAAGAAAAGAAATAAAATAAAGTGATCAATAAAAATCAGTTTTGTAATCAAACCCAGAAATGGCTCCGAACTGGGCTCCAGCCGCCTCCCTCCCAACTCCTGCTCTGCACATTACACAGAAGTGCACAAAGTAGCCCAAGACAGGAGAATTTTCCATATTCCTAAAACATGTCGACCAACTCAAAATGGACGCCTCTTTTTTTTTTTTTTTTTTACGTTTTAACTACTGCTTATCTTTTTACTACTAGTACTAAAATCATTCTTTCCCCCCAGCAAGACATCCGAGAATCCGACCTCATTTTGAAAACATGCATTTTCTTACTTTACGCTTAGGAAAATGGATGTTATATTCTCTGCTGTCGGTATTTTTCAGCTAACGCAGACACTTTTCGGATGTTTAGAAAGTGCATTGTAAAAACAAGAAGAAAAACCAAACACAACTGAATCGATCCGTTCCTTACTTGTTTCTCATTAAGAGCTGCTATTCTTGATTGCCTTTCATGGATTTGTTTCTTAAGATCCCCGTTCTGCAAAAACGGCAATAAGACGCATATTAAAGGCAAAGTGTAAACTAACCCCTGTAATGAATAAACTTGCGATCGAGAAATTGTTCAAAGGCAAAACCGTTCCACCAAAGCCGAACGAAAGCATGCACACACAAAACACCCTCCTTAGTAAGAAAGCTCAGTGCAGACTACAAAATGAGATCTCTTACTGATAAAGTTTCTCATCCTGCTGTCCCAGCACAACTGCGCTTATTACAGCAGGGATAAAATACTGAAGAAGAGAAAAAAAAAGGATCTGCATTTACCTGTGGATCTTGCTTCATCTGTGCAACTAGTTTCTATAAAAAAAAAAAAATCACCCCCAAAAAAGGAGGAATTAGAAACTGTTTCAAGTTTAATGGATTTTTTTAAATGTATGTATGTGTGTGGACGGGGGAGGGAGGGGGGTAAGGAACAAAGAGGCAAGTAAACACTGCGAGTCAGTTTCAAGCAAAGCTCATAAATATTCAAGTCTCGTCCTAATCTCTCCAACACACACACACTCGCACGCGCACACACACACACACGCACACACTCACTCACACTCACGCGCACACACACTCACACGAGCACCCACTGCAACGTTAATTCCGCATCTCCACAACACACACACAAAAAAACCCC